ACCTCCATACCCTGTGACACAGATAGTTTGTTGTCTTTTTTTAACTCTTTCTTAAAACTCGATCCTTGCGAAAAGGGGATGAGATGATTCAGTTTTTAATATTTTAATTTGATTTTTATTTTATATTAATTTATTATATATATTTTATATTAATTTGATTGTTATTATTGTTGTTGTTGAAAGTATAGGTGATCAGAATTGGAGAAGTTAAAAAAAAAAGGAGAGAGAAGAAATTGCGAATTGTAAGACGTTTCTTAATATCTGCTTGTGTACAAGTGTGAAATTTTAAATTGGGATCTATTTTTAATTAGACACTCAGTTTCTAACACGTGTCATTATTACATTCGTATTGATATTGTTTCGCTCTAATGATAATTAACTACGATTCGGTGTTTGGCGTCATCTGTTGGAACAGGTGTTCGTTCACACCGATGAATAACCGGTGAAATATTTTGCGTTTGAAAATAGTTTGGCCATATAAACAATTATTATTATCAATGTTTTCGCTTATATTCGAAAACTTGTGCAAAAACATCTCTAATTAATCATTAAATTTTATCACACGCGAGCAGCAGAGTATATAAATATTCTAAATTTTTAGAAACACTGGACGAATAAAATTGAAAAAAAAGAAGAAAAGAAAGAAAATAATGAAACAATGAAGCACCTGATAATATTCCTCGTCATCCTCCTCGCTGTCGCTGGTCTGCGACATGTGATTCTTGGAGAAATGAAGAGTCTGAGGAAACACCATGGTTATCGTATTTTTTTCTTCGACTATCGTCGTTTGACACGATTCCGACGGGCTGCTAGGCGCGCTGATCGGCTCTCCTTTGATCTCACTGCACTCCACGTCTTCAGGTACTATGTTGTTCCTTCTCTTTAGGATAATCGTTGAGGTAGAGGACGTGGACGACGACGAGGACAGGTCGTCGCGTCCGGACGCGGTGTTCATCGAGATCGCCGGGAAACATTCCTCCTCCATGTCTGGAAATCGAAATAATTTTAATTGAGTAACGTAAAAAGTGCAAACTCTCTTTGGTTATCGTCATTCATTTCGTGTAATAAATTTTATTTAAGAGAACGAGAGATTATTACGCGTGTATACCAATTTGTTACTATTTTGAATCGAAGAGACAAGAGAATGCGTGCACACAATGAGATCACGAGTAAATTAATTGCAAGGAAGGCCATCATATGCTACTGATATACCATTACGAGATAAGAATGGTATAAAAAGTTAATGGAAGAACAACATGCGTATGTGAATGAATCTATATTATATGATTCTGAAAGCATGTGTATGTCAGTTTTAAAGGGAATTAAAATGTAATTAAAAAAGAAAAAATTAATATTCCAATGTTTAAAATATATATATATATTATTCTTTTAAAAGAAGATAAAAATTGACGAGAATCACTTCTTATAGAAGATTGCTTTTCAATTACATGGATTTCCATCAAATTAGCAATATTATTAGGCTCCTGTTACTTCTGTAACTTTATACTTTCCCCTGTTAGAGATTCTGTTATGGAGAGGAGGTATGATATACGTATTGTGCATTAGCATCATTCCATTGGACGTGATGCACTGTAACGATGCAGGGAAGAGATTCTTGAAAGTTGGGTGTGGGAAAGGTGAGCAATAGATTCTTGCGGCTTGACGTTCTTGCATCGACGATGAAAATTATTAATAAATTTGTAATACTAGAATTCTACGCTGTAAAAGAAAATGGCGTGAAAAATTGGTAATGATAGTTGTGACATTGCAATTTTTTTTGATAATCATAATCATTTAAACATACTAACACATTGATATTTCTAAATTAATTGATATATAGAGATAAAAATAATAATAAAATTGCTGATTAAAAATTCTCCAAGATATTAAATTTAATTATATTTATATGTTACATATTAATTTACCAGATTATAAAATCTTGCGTAAAAACCTTACCATCGATCCTGCTTCGAATGTCCAACGATTTATGGTGATCCATGTTAGTAGAATCGATGGAGTTGGAACCGTTTGCGGAGAGGGAAGCGCCAACCCTGTCGGCGGACGATCCGGAATTAGGCGTGTGGGGGTTGGCACCGGGTGTCGCGGGGCTTGGAGGGGGGCTCGACGTCAACAGGCTGTAATTGTGCTCGGACTTAATCGGTCGTGGACCTCCAAGGGCGGCATCCGTCATCAAACGATCCCTCAACACCACTCCCAGCGAGGATTTATCCCGCACGATCAACCCATGATTGCCCCATTCTTCTTCTTTGGTCCCCATTAGAACGTCCTGGCTCAGGGCCTGCCGATCAAAAGAAAAAAAAAAAAATTATTGCTATAAATTATCCAATGGATATGGTACGGTATGGACAAGAATAATTTTAGAATATTAGAGATATGTAAAAATATATTGTTGCAAAGTCTATTTTAAAATTTAAAGATGTTCAGAGTTTATTTTAAACTTTCACCGATCCGTGCTCGCTTTCTTTGTTTCGACCCACTAATAACAATCCATTTATCCTAATTATCTCGGCTTTAATTTTCCGCTTCAAAATTGCATTACGAACAATTCACACGATATATCTTTTTCAAAACTCGATTTACGATCTTTCCTCGTCGATATTTCATCAATCTTGCTTTCTCTTTATTCCTTTTCTCTTAAAATTCCTCGTTTCCCAAAAAGAAACCGAGGTCGCATTAAAATAGCTCTTTTACCTATTACTTTGAAGATCCCTCCACTTCATCCTCTTCCATCGATCAATTCCCACTTTCCCACTAAATCTCCTCTCCCCAAGAAACCACGTGTCCAAATCTCTACACATAAAATTAGACCAAATACTACCTAACACTCTCTCATCGATAAAAAGATTCCCTTGTACAAATATTCTCTTCCAATTTTTCTTTCCCCCAAGAAACCATTCTTTCAAAATCTTTATACATAAAATTATAATTAAGAGACCAAATACCTATCTCATAAAAAGATTTTCATTTCTCTTGCTCAGATAAGAGACCACTCTCTTCCACCAATTTTTCTTTTCCCCAAGAAACCACTTTTCCAAAATCTTTATACATAAAATTATAAGAGATCAAATACTATCTCATCAATGGAAAGATTCTCATTTCTCTTCCACCAATTTTTCCCCCAAGAAACCACTTTTCCAAAATCTTTATACATAAAATTATAAGAGACCAAATACTATCTCATCAATGGAAAGATTCTCATTTCTTCAATTTTTCTTTCCCCCAAAAAACCACTTTTCCAAAATCTTTATACATAAAATTATAAGAGACCAAATACTATCTCATGGAAAGATTTTTATTTCTCTTACTCAGATAAGATAGACCATTATCTTCCACCAATTCCGTTATTCTTTACATTTCTTTCTCCCCAAGAGACTACGTCCCTATATCTAAATTATAAGAAATCAAGCACTGCTCTCTTCCATTCAAAAAGCTCGCTCATCTCTCTTGCAGTCGCAGTTCCGCTGGGACAGAAGCGGAAATGGAAGGAGCGCGAGACTGTCAATGGCAATGTCGAAGGTGTCAAGGACCCCGGCATCTAAAATCCTATAGGCGCTCGAAGCGGTCACGCTTGCCTCGATGACCAAGGAGAAGGGCACGAGTCGAACCGGTCAAGTTGAAGGTCGAAGTCAACGAGCGCAACTTCTAGTGGCCCTTCTCCCGGAGGGGGGCCCTTCGAGCCTTGGCAATGCGGAACTGTCCGAGTCAAGGTCAACGCGCAAGGTTCTCCTCTTTTTCCTTCTCTCTTCCTTTTTTCTTTTTTTTTTCTTTCTGAACGAGGTAAACGAGGATTCGTTTTACTCGTGTTCGACGCGTTTAATAGTCTAGAACTCGAGGGAGGGAATTTCTGTGGTTCCAAAGTTTCCAAACGATGAATTTTAGAGCAGCAGATGTAACAGTTTGGGGTTGAAAAGTTAGGTTGTTATATTTTTGAAGAGATTTTAGAGTTTGTTGGGATTTAGACTGATTTTAGGGTTTGGTGATGATTATCTAGTTTTATTATAGGTATTAAAGATAGTAAAAGAGAAGTTTTAGAGCATTTCAGTTCGTTATCTGCTTTGTTCTTTAAAAGTTTTGGAAGTGGACTCTTAAAAGGTTTAATACTTTTTTTCTTTCTGGAAAGATTTATGATTATTTACGATCCGATTTTAGATTTTCTTTGATGAGGGATACAGGGAACAGAAAGTAATTGTACGTATATCTTTTATTCAAAGTGGAACACATAAAATTTCGATTGATATTAACGATAATTCCCGCTTTTCATCATGAATATTAATGCCGAGAGCAATGAGAAAGTTCAAGTACAAGATTCTTTTTTAACTTTCTATAATATTTTTTTCATCGATGGAGGGAGGAGGAGGAGGAGGAGGACTTGTAAAGTAACTTAAATCTTCCAATTTCTTTTCTTTTCTTTTCTTTTCATATTCATTTAAGCAAAATAAATTTACTCGAGGGATCGAAAATCTCCTCGATGATGAATAATTTTGCATGAAATTCAATAGCATTATATCATGAGCGAACTTCTGTTATATTTTGCTGGTCGGTTGCGAAAATCTTGGTTTTATCAGAGCAGATACCGTTACACGTGATTGCGTTACATAGATGCAAGAAGAAAGATATTCTCGGTCTCCGGTTCGAAAGTCCGTATATAATGTAACTCTAAAAGTGAAACGTACAAGACGTTTCAAAAATAATTTAGCAGACGTTAAATTATATATTATCACGAGATAAGAAACGAAAAAAAAAAAATAAAAGACAATGAAATAAAATTGAATTCATCTTGGATTTTGTGCATCTAATGATGAATACCATATCCATCATCGTCAATCAGAAAAATTAAATTCTTTCTATAAAATAATTATTAATAAAATACTTTCTATGAATATAATCTCAACAACAATTTATTTTCGTTTAAAAATATATTCTTCACAGCTGTGATAAAGCGAATAAGTAAATAAAACTGTGTAACAACATTATTTTTCAACAAGTAAAAAGTCGCATATTTTCTGTCATAATTATATAAAAAATTTCACAGAAAAGAAATCAATTTTATTCGTCCCTCCCCAAATCGTACGAATAAATGGCAATACATTCGTTTTGAAGAAACGATTCGACATATTGAACAAAAGAGCACTGGAAACAATCGTGACTCCCGTTCGTAATACCATTCATTCTTTCCGTATCTTCATCATTTGTTTCACGTCGCGGGTTCTGCACTTTCCTCCCACTCGTTATGGGTCGTTTCTCTAACGGGCAGGGGAAAACAAAGCTTGTGATTTTCCAGAACCAAGACAATTATTCTGCCCTAGACAATTAGCAACCAACAACCTGGGACCGTGGCTCCGTGACACTTTTTCAACATCCTTTTCCTTAAATAGAGTCGAAGCCATTAACCAGAGTTGAAAAACTCTAACTTGAAGTTAAAAAATTTCGATCAAAGTTACTTTGAGCGATTTACTAAAACGCTCGATATAACTTCGATCGTTTGACACTATATTTGCGATTTTTATTATTGTTTCGAACGATGAATTAACTTCAAATCATCACTGTTTTGTCAAGTCATATCGATTGCACAGATTATGCTCCTCGAGTAAGAGAAAAATAAATTGGAAAGGGTAAAAGAGAAATAGAATAGGAAATATAAAAAAATGATAGAGAAAAATTTTCCAATTCGTTTCGACTGATTAAACATTCTTTCTTCAAAGAAAAAAAAACCAGAAGTTTTTGTTATTAAATAAGAAGAATCGAATTTTATCGAATAATTTTTTTATTAAATAAAATGTTTTAAAATTATGCCAACCCGTTTATTTCTTCATTGGATTCAAAGAGAATCGTGATGCAATAAAAATTGAAGGAGAAGAAAATTTTTTCCGATTATTTTATAACCGCAAGGATCGTTCCTTTTATTTTTTTTTTTTTTTTCTTCTTTTTCGTTCAATTGACAGAAAAGAAAACGTAAAAGAATAATAACAACAAGTGAGAAAGACGAGGAAGAAAGAGAAAGAGAACAAAGAAACGTTCGTCAAGGAATTTAACCGCAGAATAGAAAATAAGAAAACACGATAAAACAAGAAAACGGATTTTTAAATTACAATCACGGAACTTGTATTCGCGAAGAAGATATAAAAGATATAAAAATTGTTGTATTAACCATTCTTTTTCTCGATTGAAGAAAAGAAAAAAGAAGAAAAGGAAATGTACGAAATACTAGAAATATAACCAAATCTAACCAAAAAAAAAAAGGAAAAAAAAGAAAATTTCTCGAGCCCAGCCCTTTTCCAATTTTCCAAAGGAGAAATGCTCGAAAGCAACCGGTTCGGTTGCCAACTGCGAACTGACACGTTCAACGGCTGGATTCACTGGAGATCTGTTGCGCTTCAGCAATGCGGAACTCGAGCCCAAGGTCGCGACACTACTCTTCCTTCTCTATCTCGAACGTTCCACTCTTTCCACCACCGCGCTCTTTCTCCTCTTCGTGCTCCTTCTACCCTCTTCGTCTGGTTTTCCGTTATGCTTGGAATCGCAGCATTGCCGTTTATCCGCGATTTCACTTCCGCCGGAAGCGACCCGATAACGGCCCATTTTCCGCGAAAACTTTTCCTCGAGAAAAACTAGAGGCTTTTTCCCCTCGATTTTTCGCGTATTCCCATCGATTTGGGAAAAATTGACCCGTTCTCAAAAGTATTAAAAGAAATTGTATGTTTAAATGCAATTATCTTTATGAATTAAAATGAAATTTCGTTCTCGTTCAGGTTTTAATTTCACTTTTGAAAACGGAACAAATATTCTTTTGATCTCTCCTCGTGATTACATCAATATTGATTATTTGTTAAATGAATGTATCATGCATATCGATCGAGTTGAATAACAACAAGAATAGGAATATATTAAAAAAAATAACGTGTTCGAGAGTTTTTGTATGTAAATTTTTATTCTCAAAACTAACGGAATCTACGTCTTCGAAATTCTCGTGAATTATTTAAAATCTAAATTGCGCAAGTGTTACATTCTTATTTTTTCAAAAATAAAAGATTCTTTGAAAATCAATTTATCTACGATTCTTTTGGACAGTGTGTATTATTTTCGATACATTCTATATTGCTCTTATGCTCTAATTATTAAGTATCTACATATATCGAAAATATTAATTATTCTTAATAATAATTGAACAGAAGTCTGAATTGAAAATTAATAGACAATCAACACTGTTTGCCGTATCAAACAGAAATAAGTTCCAATTAAAGACCACCTGTTCTTTTACGAAGTCACGGTTCAATAATC